AGCCAAAATTTTTTCCCAGTCTGTAGGTTGTCTTTTGACTCTTTTGGTGAAGTCTTTTGATGAGCATAAGTGTTTGATTTTTAGGAGCTCCCATTTATCCAGTCTCTCTTCTGGTGCTTGTACATTGTTACTTATGATTCATATTGTGTTTATACTATGTATTAGGGCTCCTAGTGTTGTCGCTATTTTTTCTTCCACGATCTTTATTGTTTTCAATTTTATATTTAAGTCTTTGATCCATTTTGGGTTAGTTTTTGTGCATGGTGTGAGGTATGGGTCGTCTTGTTTCAGTTTTTTGCAGATGGATATCCAGTTACGACAGCATCATTTGTTAGAGACTGTCTTTTTCCCAATTAACGGACTTTGGGTCTTTGTCAAATATCAGCTGCTCATACGTGGATGAATTTATGTCTGGAGTCTCAATTCTGTTCCACTGGTCTATGTAACTGTTGTACCAGGACCAGGATGTTTTGACTACCATGGTGGTATAACAGGTTCTAAAATCAGGTAGTGTGAGGCCTCCCACTTTGTTCTTCTTGAGTAATGCTTTACTTATTCGGGGCCTCTTCCCTTTCCATATGAAGTTGGTGATTTGTTTCTCCATCTCATTAAAAAATGCCATTGGAATTTGGATCGGGATTACATTGTATCTGTAGATCACTTTGGGTAGAATTGACATTTTCACAATGTTGAGTCTTCCTATCTATGAGCAAGGTATGTTTTTCCACTTATGCAGTTCTCTTTTGGTTTTTTGCAGTAGTGTCTTGTAGTTTTCATTGCATAGGTCTTTTACATCTCCGGTTAGACTTATTCCTAAGTATTTTATCTTCTTTGGGGCTATTGTAAATGGTATTGATTTGGTGATTTCCTCCTCGAGGTTCTCTTTGTTAGTGTAAAGGAATCCAACTGATTTTTGTATGTTTATCTTGTATCCTGAAACTTTGCTGCAATCTTCTATTAGTTCCAGTAGTTTTCTTGTGGATTCTTTGGGGTTTTCTGTGTATAAGATCAAATCACCTGCAGACAGAGATATTTTGACTTCTTCCCTCCAATCTGTATGCCCTTTATTTCTTTTTCTAGCCTAACTGCTCTGGCTAGGACCTCCAGCACAATATTGAATAAGAGTGGTGATAAAGGGCATCCTTGTCTGGTTCCCATTTCTGAATGATGATTCTTCTGCATTTTCCAAGTTTTTAAATGTGGTATTTTTATCATCAGAAATACAAAATTTTTAAAAGTATACTAGGCATTATTGTAAGTGTCCTTCCCAAAAGATGTTATGTAACTTAGTCAACACCACAGTTAATAAGTGGTAGAACCAAGATCAGAATCCAGCCTAGCTCCTGAGTCTATGCCTTCAATCACTATGCTATACTTCCTCTCCAACACACCATAGTCTCTATTAGGCTGTTAACATGAAGTATACAGACCCCAACATATATAACTCAATTGGTTTCTCAAAAGAAATAATTTTTCCCCTAAATTCTGTATCACTTAACTCCTTCAATAAAATACTTCCATACTGGTTAAGATGCATTCAGCTGTATGTCATAGAAAACCCTTTGGCTATAAGTAATAGAAAAATGTTTGCAACAGAAAACACAAACTCAAGTGACTTATAACACAGAGGATCAAATATAAACTGTTCAAATAACATAAGCTGTGGGGATCAAAGAAAAAAGTGAAGACAGACAGGAATGAATGTCAGGGACAAAATGAGGTAAGAATGGGTCAAAAGGGCAATTCAGGAGTGGATACTCTCAATTTTATCTATCCCATCACATCTTGGCATTAGTTCCTTAAAGAAACAAGGACATTCTGGCAATAAATAGTATTCATAACTTTTTCCCTTCGTTTTTTTTCTTGTGAATTACTAAGAACTCCTTCACTGATTTCTAAGTCCATAAAATAGAAAAATTGGTTAAAAGATACTAATTTGATGGAATAAATGAATCCAGATAAACACATTAAATTATGAGGAAAAATTACAACAGAATTCTTTAATTTAACACCTTTAATAATCATGCCAGTAGGATGGTAACCCAGGGGGTTATTTAAAGTGAGTTAAGGGGTACAGATTGTCCCTGATTCAGAGGATTAACAGAAATCAAGCAATCTAGAACTCACATCCTGATGATAAAATTATCCTAGTGAATCCTCATCTAACCATGAAACAAACTGGAATTTATAGCTTTTCATTATCATATCACGTCAAAGAATGAGTAGCACCCCCTGTACTCTTCCCAGGTTTTATGCCTTTCATGCTCTGTTATCCATAAAGTGGACAGTCCCTGACTCCTAAACCACTTGAGAAGAGAGATTTACCAGGTGAGAGTCAAAAGAGGGAGCTGGATAAGGAGCCAGTCTCTCATTCACCGCACTGCACTAAAATTTTTATCATTTCCTTCCATAAGATCTACAGTTTTTAGAAATTTAAATCTCTCATTTTCCTATACATCTGGAGTTTAGCATTCTCTTTAATCTAAGAAGATTAACACATTTGCTATCACTGTCCTCCTGTTAGTCTTCTTGACTTGTGCTTTGCCTTTTAAAAAACCATCTGCTTTATTGCCAACAAACCTGAAATATCTAAAACTCATATCTGATCATACTATCTCCTGCTTAATAATAAAGTCCAGAATGAAGTTCGGATTCTTTGCATACAAAGCCTCCAGAGTCAGAAACGTGCCCTCTTTTTCAATCTCATCTGCTGCCATTTCTTATCTTTTATATATCAGCATACTGATTGCCTGTAGCTCTGAACATAACATACTACTTTATGCCTTCTTTTTACATGTACATCCTCTGATCTTGGTAATCTCCTATTCCTCCTTTCAAGTCATATTTTAAAATATTTCCCTGACTATGCCACCCGTGCCATACAGATTTAATCACTACTCTTCTGTACTACTTATGTATCTTGGTGTACTTTTATCATTGCACATATAATTATCTGTTCCCATTTTCTGTATCGCCCCCCATAGTGTACATTTTCTTAAAAGCAGGAACTGAGTATATAGTAGGCACATAATAAAGAACTGAACTGGTAGGTCTATAGCATTAGTAGAAAAAAAGGAAAATGGACAAAATAAGTAGAGAAATGAAAGACAATGAAAAAGTAGCAAAAAATGTGCGAAAGGAGAGCAGAAAATGAAAGAATACTGTATTTCTAAAAAGACTTTGAATTTTAGATATAAATTTTAAAATATAAAGGATAATGTGCACTAGTAAGTAAAATTAGGTACTGATTTTACTTACTAGCGCAATTCCTGGTTGACTGACATAAAGTCATTTACATTAGGTAGTAGGCGAGTGAAACAGCACAGCATAGTAGAATGAATGGTTAAAAGCATGGATTGTGCAGTTAGACTGCCTGGGCTCATATTCCTTAGTTCCACAAAGCTAAGGCACTTTTAGGTTTGTGTACTTAGGCAAGTTACCTAAACTCTCTGTGTCACAGTTTCTTCATCTGTAAAATATAGACAATAATAGTCTCTACCTCAAGAGATTGTAGTGAGGATGAAATTATTAATATATGTAAATCATTCAGAAAAAATGCCCTGCACAGAGTAAGCAGTAAGTGTTGAGTAATACTTGAGGGCTCTGGAAATGGACTGCTTGGGTTCAAATCCAAGCTTCATTACAAATCAGCTCTGAGACCTTAGGTAAGCTAATTAATTTCTCTAGGTCTCTACTTCTTGGCAGAGACACCTTTGCTCTTCTTCCTGGACACACAGCTAGACTACATTTCCCAGCTGCCCTGGCAGTTAGGTGTGGCCATGAGGCTGAGTTCCAGCTGTGAGCAGAAAGTGATGTTCACCTCTTCCAGGCCTAGCCCTTACAGAACCTCCTGTGCATGATCCTCTATGTTCTTTCTCCTTTGCTCATTCGATGCAGGCAAGCATACCAGCCCTGGAAGCCACATGTGGAAGATGGCAGAGCCATAGGTGGAAGGAATCTGGATCCCTCAGCCACTGCTTATTGGAGAGCCACTTGCTAACCAGGAACTCCTGGTTTGAAATGTATGTGAGCATAGAACTCAACTTTGCTTCAGTGAGGTCACTGAAATGTCAGTGTTTATCTTTGTAACAGCTAGCATCACCTAATTAACATAATTTCCTTATTTACAAAATGGGAATAATATTATATGAGAATCAAATGACACAATACATGGCACATAGTAACTATTCAAAAAATATTAATTACTATCATGAGCTATTCCTATTAAGTTCAAATTCAGCTGTCCTCTTGTAAATTTTGCCTTTTCCTTCAGACCCACTTAAAGTCCCATCTCTTATGAAATTGAACTTCTAGCCCAGACTGATCTTTCCTTTCTTATTGTATGCCCCAAAATAATTTAGCATAGCACAATATTTGTTTCATGACTTCTTCATAAAATTATACATACTTGAGGGCAGGAACAGTGCTTATACCATGACTTGCATCCTACAACTGCTAAGCTCATGACTGACTGGTGGTCCAGTCGGGCAGGTGGCAGAAGCCCACCAGTCACAGAGCCATGGGGGCCTGCCCTGATGGGTTGCAGCTGGTTAGCTCAGCGGGCTAGGACACTGTGGAAGCAAATGCTGTTATTGTTGAATAAATAAAAGAGTGAATGAATGAAGGCAATGTAATTATATTTCATGGTCATGAATAAGTCTTCTGGCTTTCAAATCCTTATGACTGTTCAAAACTGAGAAGAGATTAGAGTGAGAAGGATCAGCAGAAATCTATTACCAATGCTGAACAACTCAAGCCCTACTGATGTTATGTCAGCAGCAAGGTTATACCTTTGTGACTTATCCTTGAACTAGAATTTAATACACAAGTCTACCAGAGGTTAAAATAAAAGCTTTACCTCACCATTTTCAAGGAGCTGTTTTCTGGAATAAAACAAAAATATGCTCTATTTATTGAATGTCCTTCATAGTATGATTACATAAAAATAAGTTTACTTTATTTGTTCTAAGATTTTAAAAAATTGATTCTCTAAAACCACTTAGTAACATAACTAGAAAATAAAAAAGATTAGATAATACTACTAAAATAACAGCAATTTTTAAAGTATAATTTAAAATCATACTATTAACCTATTCTTTGGTTATGGTAAAATAGGCTTTACTGTTCTCTGGAAATTATACTTCTGGAAAGATAAATGAACAGAAATGATTTCTATTAACTATCCAGCCTATGTATGTAAAATACATTAGATAACCACTATTGGACTTTTGAGTTGTTTTCATTTTTCACAATTATAATTAGCATGAACATCCTTGTACATAAAACTTTGTGAGCATATCTGAGTATTTCCTTAGGATAAATTTCTAGAAGAGAAATTATTGGCTTAAAGCATACAAATATTTTTAGTCTCCAAGAAACCAGTCCCAGTGTACTCAATCTTTATGGCACATCTACTATGTTCTAGGCACAGTGCAGTGAATAGAGCAGTGAATAGCACAGACATAGCTCTCACCTTCGTGGAGCTTACATGAGATTCATATGAGAGGTACGAGACTGCCTATTTTACTGATCCATTGAAGAGACTGGGTATTTTAGTTTTTTAAAAGGCTTTATAGGTTGCAGGAACCTTCTAATACGGATTTTTGAGTTGGAGAGAGAAGTACGACCGTGTTCAAAGGAAGGTCAGGGCCACACGTGGATCTGGAGATTTTAAAAAGAGTGGCTAGGGAAGGCATCTCAGGACAGCAGTGCAATCACTAAAGTGCTCTGCCTCCACCATAGCTCTTTCTTGCTTATGTGGTCAAGGGTTGGGGCAAGTGTGTTCTGGCTTCTTCTGGAATCTGCCAGTCACCACAGAACTCTGTAGTGAGCTACTGCATTCAAGGGAGAGGCCTTGGAGGTAATTATTATAATCGCCAAGGACTCTAACAAAAACTACTGATACAGATAAATCTAGTAGCTAATTTAAGATGTGAATAAACAACTGAGTTACAAGACACAAAGAGCATGAAAGAGAAACACCAAGATGAATGAGCAAATGAACTAATCTCTCAGGAAACTGAGTTAATGCAAGAAACAAAAGAGAGCATTAAAGGAAAATTCAAGTTATTGTCTTCAGAGAAGGTTAGAGAATATTGCATTCATATAATTAGAATTCAAGCTTCTAATTCATAAAAGCTACAATGAAAAAGGAGTTTTCAGAAATTCTGAGAAAAACATATTTGCCTATTCTAAAATGTCAAAAGAAGGTTGAATAGCAGAATGGTAAAATTCAGAAATTACCAGCTGAAAATGGTAATGTAAAGACTAAGTCATGGAATTCTCTGAGAAAATAGAAAAAAAAGAAATAGATAATATGAGATAAACAATAATAGAAGCTTAAAAAAGAGGATAAAGAGAAATAATAACAGAACAACAATTCCCTGAGCTGAAAAAGATTTAAGTGTTCAGATTAAAATGTTCTACGAATTAATAAACATATAAAACACACACACCTTCCACACGGCATCTCAAGACCCTATAAATTTCCAGATAGAAAACTTTATATAGGATTTTTCATCTGCAATGGTCAATATTACAAAACAATGAAGCAATGTCTACAAAATACTGAATAAAACCCAGAAATCTCTACTAACCAATCCATCAATAAAACATGAGGGCAAAATAAAGGCATTTTTCAGGCAGGAAAGCACTTAGAAAGTATGCCACCTCTATACTCTTTCTGAAAAACATTATTTGTGTATATATATTCTATGAGTCTAAGGAGAAGAAATCATGTGATACAAGAAACAGTTCAGAACAAATAAACCAGTAAAATTTAAAGTCAAGTTAAAGAATTGCTTGTATCTTTTATCTAAATTTCAGGTAGACTGCTTAAAACAGAAGAGATACTACAACAATCTACAACTAAAATTTCAGATTGTTTCAACAAAACATGGAAGATGGGATGTGTAGGAAGGGAGAAGAAAAGTGTTCCAATGACATAGTGCCTGAGTTTGAATCCTGACTCCATTACTTACTAGTTACGTGCCTTAGGGAAAATGACTTACCTTTTCCTCATTTGTAAAGAAGGGGGAATTTAATAAGGGAATTCCTCTCTCATAGGGTGCTTGGGAGGAGTTATTGACTTAGCACAGGTAGAAACTTAAAAATACTGCCAGGCACATAATAAGTAATCAATAAATGTTAGCTATTATTATTATTACGGATTACAACTCAACATAAGGAAAACAAAAATCCTCACAACTGGACCAATAAGCAACATCATGATAAATGGAGAAAAGACTGAAGTTGTCAAAGATTTCATTTTACTTGGATCCACAATCAAAGCCCATGGAAGCAGCAGTCAAGAAATCAAACGACGTACTGCATTGGGCAAATCTGCTGCAAAAGACCTCTTCAAAGTGTTACAAAGCAAAGATGTCACTTTAAGGACTAAGGTGCACCTGACCCAAGCCATGGTTTTCAATCACCTCATATGCATGTGAAAGCTGGGCAATGAATAAGGAAGATCAAAGAAGAATTGATGTCTTTGAATTACGGTGCTGGCAAAGAATATTGAATATACCATCAACTGTCAAAAGAATGAACAAATATGTCTTGGAAGAAGTACAGCCAGGATGGTGAGAGTACATCCCACATACTTTGGAAATGTTACGAGGAGAGATCAGTCCCTGGAAAAGAACATCATGCTCGGTAAAGTAGAGGGTCAGCGAAAGAGGGGAAGACCCTCAAGTAGATGGACTGACACAGTGGCTGCAACAACGGGCTCAAGCATAGCAACAATCATGAGGGTGGTGAAGGACCAGGCAGTATTTTGTTCTGTTGTACAGAGGATTGCTGTATGGCACCTAACAACAACATTATTATGGTTGGGGGTAACACATTTTAGAGACTCGTTAATTCTTGACATCAACCACTTGTCATGGATTGAACTGTGTCCCCCAGAAATATCTGTCAACTTGGCTGGGTTATGATTTGCAGTACTGATTGTGTAATCTGATGTGATTTCCTAATGTGTTGTAAACTCTATCACTATGATGAGGTTATATGTGATCTCCTTATGTGTTGTAAATTCTATCACTATGATAAGGTTATACTGATGAGGTTTACAAGATTAGATAGTGTCTTAATCCAATCTCTTTTGAGATATAAAAGAGAGAAGCGAGCAGAGATACGTGGGAACCTCACACCACCAAGAAAGCCGTGCCAGGAGCAGAGTGCATCCTTTGGACCTGAGGCTCCTGTGCTGAGATGCTCCCAGACCAAGGGAAGACTGATGCATCACAAGGACTTTCCTCCAAAGCCGACAGAGAGAGAAAGCCTTTTCCTGGAGCTGATGCCCCGAATTTGGACTTGTAGCCTACTGGACTATGAGAGAATAAATTTATCTTGTTAAAAGCCATCCACTTGTGGTATTTCTGTTAGAGCAGCACTAGATGACTAAGACACCACTAGTACAACATAAATGGCATAAAGATAACAAACATTTTAGCAAATGCCAATAAAAGAATAAAAGAATTTTTTTAAAGCATGATGAACAGAAAACACATAATAAAATGGCAGGAATAAGTTCAAACAGAGCAGTTACCATAATGAATATGAAACCAGGTCAGAATTTCCTAATTTAAAAATGAAGATTTTTAGATTGAGGGTAAAAAATAAAATCGAGCAACGAGAAATATTCCTAAACCAAAATGTTTCAAAAAAGTTGAAAAATAAAGCACGGATAAAGGTATACCACGCAAATACTATGAAAAAGGAAGTGATGTAGCAATATTAATTTTCTACAAAGGCAGATGCAGCAATATTAATTTTCTACAAAGGCAGATGTAGCAATATTAATTTTCTAAAAGAATTAAAAGCAAAAGGCATTAAATAAGGCAAAGAAGATATTTTATAACAATCAAAGCCTAGAGAAATAAGAGCCGTCACACGAATATGCACACCCATGTTAATTGCAGCACTGTCCACAATAGCAAAAAGATGGAAACAGCCTAGGTGTCCATCCACGGATGAACAAATAAACAAATTATGGTATATTCACACAATGGAATACTACGTAATGATAAAGAACAACGATGAATCCGTGAAACATCTCATAACATGGATGAATCTGGAAGGTATTATGCTGAGTGAAATTAATCAGTCACAAAAGGACAAATATTGTATGAGACCACTATTATAAGAACTCAAGAAAAGGTTTAAACACAGAAGAAAACATTCTTTGATAGTTTCGAGGGTGGGGAGGGAGGGTGAGGGTTATTCACTAACTAGACAGTATATAAGAATTATCTTAGGTGAAGGGAAGGACAACACCCAATACAGGGGAAGTCAGCACAACTGGACTAAACTAAAAGCTAAGAAGTTTCCTGAATACAACCAAATACTTCGAGGGACAGATTAGCAGTGGCGCGGGTCTGGGGACTACGGTTTCAGGGGACATCTAGGTCAACTGGCGTAACAAAGTTTATTAAGAAAATGTTCTGCATCCCGTTTTGGTGAGTGGCGTCTGGGGTCTTAAAAGCTAGTGAGCGGCCATCTAAGATGCATCAGTTGGTCTCAATCCACTTGGAGCAAAGAAGAATGAAGAACACCAAGAGACAGAAAGGGCCACGTAAACCAGAGACTCCATCAGCCTGAAATCAGAAGAACTAGATGGTGCCCGGTTACCACCAATGACTGTCCTGACAGGGAACACAACAGAGAGTCCCTGACGGAGCAGGAGAAAAGTGAGGTGCAGAACTCAAATTCTAGTAAAAAGACCAGACTTAATGGTCTGACTGAGACTGGAGGGACCCTGGAAGACATGGCCCTTGGACTCTCTGTTAGCCCAGAACTGAAACCATTCCCTAAGCCAATTCTTTAGACATAGATTAGACTGGACTATAAGGCATAAAATGATACTAGTGAAGAGACTGCT